TTTTTCTTTTTAAAAATTATCATTTGATGCCAGGAACTACTATCCAATATTTGGAATGGCATGCAAGCTGGACAAATGGTTGAGGTGAAATTAAGCATTACAAAAGTTGGTTAATGCTATCGAATGTATTGCTATGACATGTTTTACTCACAAATCTGTGCCTTAAATGTAATTTAGAAATGTTATTTTGCATTTAGCCTACAAAGAACCAATTTTTGACTTAATGGATAATTTTAGTTGGATCAATGCCTCTTCTTTTCAGTGATATGGCGATTGTCATTATCTTCTATGTTCTCATCGTTGTTATGGTTTTCATTGAATTTATGATTCTATGGATCATTAAATTTCACATAACTTTCTTGTTTCTAGTGTTCCTTTCCTGCATGATTTTAAAATTTTGGACTCTTTTTTTTTATTTTTAGATAAAGAAATTGCTCCTAAAACAATCAATGACGTGAAGCTCATAAATGCGGGTAAAATATTGGAGAACAACCGAACCATTGCTGAGTCTAGGGTACCAGTTGGTGAGCTTCCTGGTGGTGTAATTACCATGCATGTTGTAGTTCGACCTCCTGTACTCGACAAGAACAATGGTAAATTTTGTAATATGCTTCTGAGCTACTTTATGGTATATCGGGATTCTATTGCATGCTACATGACATGTAGGCAGTTTGAGCTTTTAGTTGATCTATTTGGTGATGCAAAATGGTAGTGGGGTTCTGTTTAAAAACCATTTTTGATAGCAAAGTAATTCAGATTTCATGAGCCTTCTATATCAACTTTGTATGTCTTATCAGGTTGAGTTCTTATTGTTGTGATACAGCTTATGGGCTTTTGTTGATCATGCTCACTAATTGCTTCACAATTGGTATTTTGAATTATTATGTCATGTCGTTAATTTGTAGTTGTACTTAGTTTGATTAAATGTCGATTCACAACACTGCCAAATTGTTTGAACATGGCCCTACAAACGTATATGGTATTGTGCCTAGATCCTAAGAACGAAAATTCTTTTATCCATAAATGACAGCAACAGCAGATAAGCATCACATAGGAGCAACAAGATCTCGTTAAAGTTTCTGCCTTTGAAATACACATTTAAGAATAATAAATATACAAGCATGTCATGTGCCTCAGAGAGCGGTATGATAATGTAATAATGTGACTAGTCACTGCCTATTCAGTAAAATAATAGTCAAAATTTATATATTCAAGTTCATTATATTTTATACCGTTTGTGGGTGTAACTCTCTATAGCCATTCATAATGTGAAACCCCACTTGAACTTAGTATCACTAATCAAGCAACCTTTTAAATGAGTTTTAAGTCCAAGCACTTTCTTCTGTTCCTTTTGTTGTCATTTTACAATGATCAATGTCCAGAGGCACTATAATTTGGTTCTTGCATACCACAGAAATAGTAACTTACTGATAGAATCCATGGTATTTTGTCTTTATGAAACAACATTGACTAAATACGTATCTTATCTGCTCTTTAAGTATGCTCTCTAAAGTACAAGTGATGGAGATCAAAACACCTTCTAGGTCTACAATAGATATTAGAAGGAGAAAGATCAACTGGAATCTTTTTGATTGGAGAGACATTTAGGTCAAAGTTCTTTTTTTCACTTTAATCAATTTGTTTTGTTTTGTATTTTGGAAAAAAAATTAGTTTGGAAATTTAATGTCTCTATACAGCATAACCATGATCATGCAAAAACAGGAAAAAACAAAAATTAAAGAAATTAAGATCAATAAGCTTAATTGAGAATCTGTACAGAAAGGGAATGGCAATCAAGACAATACAAATATGGAAGCAAGTATTTTAAATAAATTTGGAAGTAGATCTCCAAAGAAAAGAAGATGGATGATTGACTAATCTTGATCCAATATTTCTTAAATATATTGTCTTATTTCTTTTGTGTTCTTTTTCTTCTGGTTCTCTGGAGATCTACTTAAAGAAGGTAGGACAAGGGTCATAGAGATCTCATATTATGTGTCAGTGGTATAAGGCTAAGTGGATTTGTAAGCAGCCAATGGGCTGTCGGATAAGTGATTATTCTCTAGCTTAGCTATTACTAGTGAATTTGGACATACGATCAGTTGTAGAGTAAGCATCTTTGACAAATAAATTCACAAATATTTCCAATAGCTGCTGATTATACAAACAATACCAGATTATTCATGCCTTTGATATGCTGAAACAAGTGTAAGTCCTCAAAATTAAATTAAACTAGCACTCACTTGGTATTCTTAGCAGATAAGTTGCTCTACTTATATACTATTTTTGATTTCTGGAAATCTTTGGACTTCATTGTCATATTACACAATTTCTTCAATCCTTTTTACATACAGGTACTGGTTTTATTGATCTTTCAAACTTCAAGTTCTCAAAGTTAAATATAACTATCATTCACTTGGTGTTCTTAGCAGATAAATTACTATATTCATATACTATTTTTGACATCTCGAAATGTTTGGACTTCATTCTCATAGTATACAGTAACTTTCTTCGATCCTTTTTGACACACAGGTACCGGTTCTATTGATGTTTCAAACTTAACATATCTGTAGTAATGATCATATACCTGTAGTAATGAACATTTAGTCTAACCGCTCCATGGTTCAGAATATGTTGGAAATAGATGATGGCAGTGCTTGACATGGATAAAATTTCTGTAGTTTGTCTATGTGCAACTTGTCCTGGAGTTATTTCCTTTACCCATTGTTGTTAACTCATTATCGGTACTAATATTACACTTGTTCACAGAGAAGCAACCATCGAAAGCCCCAAAGCATAACAGATGTGGTTGCACAATCCTCTGACATCAGAGCGCAATGTTTTGGTCAGCTCACTTGGAGTTCGAATTTTAGCTTAATGTTCATCTGGCTGTGAAATCCAATTTAGTAGCTCTAATTTGCACCATCACTTGGAGGACTTTACATACTGTTCTTAGATTGTTTTTGTGCTAATGTTAGTCCCTGAGAGATTCTGGAGGTAAAGTTGGCAAAAATCTTTTGTAACATGCAAGACTTGTGGTTGTATAAATTGAATCCCCAAACATGACCATTTGTTGCTTCTTTAAGATACAATTTGTTATGATTGGATGATTCTTTCCACAGTTCATATAATGATTCTTTCTTAATATTCAGTAACCAACAATTCATTAAACTAATAAACTTGGGATTATGTTGGCTATGAATTGTTTAATCTCTTCAAATATTTAAGCATGCTGAGGAATTTGCACTACTTTAGTGTCAAATTTTGTAGAACTGGGCAGCCCACAAGAACAAGTGACTGAATCCCTGCTTTTTCTAGATTTTGAGATTGATAGAATATGAAAAGAAAGGATGGTGATCAGAGAGGGAGACAGATGAGAGAGGGAAATAGGAAGATGGTGAGAAGAGATGAAAGAGAATAATTACATCAACATAGTTTTCTTGTCTTTCATCTTTATAATATAAAAAAAAAGTTCTTTAACACTCTTCAAAATTTAAGGTATTTTAGTGTTTTTAACACTCAAACCCTTTAGTTAGTAAGTCAAAATGACAGAGGGTTGGCTTTCAAATCTCTCCGATTCGATTAGTCATTAGTTTCAAAAAAGAGTTTACTAAAAATTAGTTTTTGTTTTACAAAATTCAATGACAACAAAAGAACAAATGAAAAGAGGTGACAAACAAGAGAAATCAAATATTTTCCCTACAAATTCCAGATGGGCAACACAAGTTTAATCTCTACAAACAAGAGAGCAAAGATTTCTTCTTCATGAGCACAGTAATGGTGAATCCAGAAGAGTTGTACATTAACTAGAAGAAGCATTATCCTTCTTCACTGAGCTTGGGGTGTATTTTCTTGACTAGGCTAAAGATCCTCCATTTGAAGTTTCCTCCTCTCTTCTTTTCCCTACCTCCTTTCTGTTGGTCTCTTCTGCCATTGAGGTCTTCTCCCTCCAACGCTTTCTCCCTTCTTTCCATCTTCTCCTTGAAGAGTTTCCTCTCTACATATATTTCAGCAACATCATACCCTACAAAAGCCATGACCAGGACCAAAACAATGAGAGATTCCAAATGGATTCCTCTCTCTCTCTCTCTCTCTCTCTCTCTCTTTGTGGAATAGTTTTGTAGTACTGGAGTCATGAATGAATGAATGAATGAGGATTTATAGGAGATGAAGGATGGATGGTGGCTTGGTTGACAAGGAAGCTGTATTGGAATAGTCAACACTAGTCAAAAGGAAGTTTGACAAGGAAACTGTGTACATGTTCTTCAAATCTGCATGTGGAAGAATCTTCCTGGCTACTGCGCCAAGAAAGGTTTTCCTGGCTGCATGTGAAATAAAGAGGTATTATCTTTTCATTTCTTTTCTGTAAATGTAAAGGTTAGAGAATAAATCAAATTAAATTTGAAGTCAAAGATGGATTTTAATCTTAATTATCTGTTCAATTGGAGTTTGAGCTAACATATGATTTTAAAATATTTTTTTGTTCAATAAAAATATATTATTAAGTTCAATGAGTACCAAAATCGTCTCTTGATTAACCAATCAATTGCCAACTCTGTTTTAATAAATATGGAAATAAAAAAATTAAGTAAATTGTTTAGATTGGTTGGTTTTGAGGTTGTACAATTTGATTTATGATTTCAAAATATAAAGCTATACCTAATTAATTATCCTCTTGAATTCTCTATTTTATTAATGTCTTTTTTTTGTTCCTAATAAGAAGATCCATTAAGGGATTCTTCATTGTTTTTTTTGGAAAAATCGATCTTAAATTTCATAATTATCTTAATATACAAATCATTTTTTAGAAATTTAATATGATTGAACTTAAAATTTATTTTATATAAATATAAATATAAATATAAATATATATATATATATATATATATATATATATATATATATATATATATATATATATATATATATATATATA